AACAAAGCTGAAACGGCACTATCTTCTTGATTTTGACTATCCTGCTGGGACATAGCTGATTCAGGTGACAGTAAATTCGAATCCGCAGAATTTTGAGTATACACCGACACACGGCGTAATTCCGACTCGGCATTTTCCTCATTTGGTGTTGTACTGCAGATTAGTGTTCAAAAATGTATTATAATTCAAATTACAACAGAAGCAAATAGATAAAATAAATGAATTACCTTTGCGAAAGATGTGCAAAAAGTCCATCTTTTCTAGCGACATGCGTGAAACTTGCAACCCATTTGATTAAAGCGACTTTACAGAGTACATAATTATTCTGATTTTGATTCATCGGTTTACGCATTGTGGGTAATTCCAAATTAGGTTTGTAAAGGGAAAAGTTGTCATTGAATTCCGGACAGATGTGACGAAGATATGCTACTTTAAAACGTTCTAATAAAAATTGAAAAGTTTTATGCTGTCGTGTAGATTTATCTCGCCATTCTACTTTTACCACCTGAAAATAACACAAACAAATTGTTAATCATTTTTATCGCGTTTTAACATTAAATAGATATCTATAAATATGTCCATAGAGAAGTAAATTACATACCTGAGTAACCATAAATTCAAGCAATGCTTCCAAAAATCGAACAGTTTCATTATCGAGAGGTTTTTCTCCACTTTGCGGTGGTAAGATAGGTCCGCCGTCAACTTGACTGATAGGACATTGATTTGGTCCATTATCATGAAAAGTACTTTGCCCGAGTTGCGTATCATAAAATTCTTTCTTATCTTTCTCTTCAGAATTAGATGTTTTCGCCAGTTTTTCTTTCTTGCCATCTGTCTTACGATCACATTTATAAGGCGATGCTTGATGCGGTGGAAATCCTGGCACCAAGCTAGCGAACATCTGATGTATATGTTCGGGAGCATTTTCGCCAAGAGCTTGATACCACAAAATAAAGTACCTAAAACATCAATGGTGTTACACAAATAACAAGTAAATGTAACACACATAAAAACCAAATAATATGCTCTAAATAAATAGAACATATATACTGTGACCAGTTGCCATATACCTTATAGCTTGTCTACGAAGTTTCCAACTATTACCAGGATGCAAGAGCTTCTGCAAAATCCGTGCTAAACTATGACACTGCCATCGTCTGTTAAGCAGCTCAGGAAGAAGAGTTAAAACTTTCTCCAGAAGTTGCAATACTTGTTCTAACTCTTCCCTGTGTGCCTTATGCACTATAAAAAAATATAGATTAGTTTTTTCTATCTTTTAATCATACTACATAAGAAATATTTATGGCAAATATGCTATGATTAACATGAGAATGATATTTGCACATAAGTATCCATGTAAATGTAATTTAACTCATAATAAAACGTTAGTAATGGAAGAAATAATTAATGCAAATCAAGCTAAAGTAATATGATATATGACTTACCAATATGGAAGGAAAGCTCTGGCAGCAGAATGGGAAGAAATGAAAGAGATGATAATAAAATAACGAGTGAATATTATGGTTAATACAAAATTTATTATAATTTTGAAGGCAATGATATTATTTTGTCAAGTTACACATTTATGCGATATTTATTAAAGCATGGAAATTTCCAAAGTTATACAGCATTAGGACAGTTAGCTTTATTTAGTACATTACACTTTAATATCAATTTAGTTTGCAACTTACCGCGTTGCCGAAGATTGGCTTCGGCGGACACGAAGCAATCGTAAAGAATGAAGTACACATGGCTGAAGTTACCCTCAAAAAAGCCCTTTGCCTCGTCAGTGTCCACATTTTCTTTAAACAATAATGCGTGAATTGATATATGTTTATTATATAAAATATAAGATATTTGTAAACATATCATCATTGATTAAATAAAAGAGAAAACTTTCTCTCGCAATATTCCTTAATGTTAAAAGTAATATAAATAAAAAAATTAAGTTTCCCCTAAAAAAAAAAAATTCTTTTTCAACTTGATAAAAAATTATTGACTAATCAATGATATCGATAAAAAGTATATATTCATAATATGATCCCATCAAATCTCTTTTTTGTCATTTTTATTTCACAATCTTTCAAAAAACCATTTTCTTTGAATTGTGACGTTTTGATTTTTTATGAAGTTTACTCTTGATGATTAATAGGACAATATTTACTTAATACTAGAAGGACCGAAGTTATTTACTTAATACTAGAAGGAGCCAATGGCTCCTTGCGAAATTCAAACTGATATAACTTTTTTCAATTTTGCTTCTACGTGATATCCTTTTGTGACTTTTTATCATTTTTCATGTTCTTAATTTAAAAAAAAAATTTTCATTTATGTAAAATAGTTGAATTTTTATTTAACTGTCTACCTAGAGAGATTGTTGGAGCCAATTTGGCTTCTTCATCCTTCTAGTGTTAACTCATTCATGGTAATAACTAAAAAGAAATTTTTTGTATTGTGTGTCGCCTTTGAAATACGGGAGTGATATGTCTTACAGAAAAAAGTAGTGGAAACTCTATTACATCATAACTGGTTCCAAGTGTGTATTTAAGTATCTGTGCTTATATAGTAGAATTCCTTTTCTTTTTCCTTATATGTATATAAGAAACAGAGAAAGATGGAAGGAGAGAAAGAAATATGCAATACATGTTATAATATTTCAAAATTATTTAATGTAGTGAAATAGATAAATAGAATAGAAATATTAAAACAGAAATATAGATATTAATATGTATGGCATTAGACATACATAAGCACATGTTTGCAAAATATCTAAAGCTGTAGACTATTTTTATTAGGTGTGTGTGTGTGTGTGTGTGCGCGCGCGCGCGCGCGTGTGTGTGTGCAAAGATGTAAAACATGCAACAACAATGTAACTTTAGCTAGACATGGAGGCCACGAGTTGGTCAATGTGGTCAGGCGGTTTGGTGATTAGATATTGACTACCTCTCTCATAATACTGCGAAACCACTATCTTGTAACTGCTTGGATTTAATTCTTTTCTTTTTTTAACTAGGATATACAACAAGCAAGTGATGTAACAGAGTTTTATCTATGTTAAATAAACAGCTGAGAAACAAATAGGATACTACTTTCTCAAATCTTTTAGTAATATTCTATATAAAACCTGCTAAAAAAAACTGTTAATTAACTTTACTTTTAAAATCAGTTAAATATTATACAAAGTATATTAATTTTCACAATTTTCACAATATTTCACAAAGAGGTAAAAGTGACGTCTTTTAAAATCTGTGTATAACTGGATTTTTTAATTATTACAATATCTTTATATATTCATTTAAAATCTGCTTGCAAAAATAATCTCTCATTAATGTTAATTAAGGTCCAGTTTTGATTAACTTAACAACTCAAGTTATCTGTGCTATTTTGTTAACATAAAAAATATATCAAACAATTAATCTCTTACATAAAAAATATAGATCAGGGATAATAACACAATTAAAAATTTTGCAGCAAGTAATTCTAATTGAATTAATCAAAGTTTTATTTGGTTTGGTCAAAGTCATTACAATGGTTATTTTTAATTTTCTACTTTTAACACATCAACATTCCTCAGGGTTATCTTCTATTTTCAAAGAAGTCAAACGAGTTGCATGAAGTAAACAATTTTTCCTCAGTAACGTAAAAGTAATGTTGTGTACTCTCATGTTCTCTCTCACTCTATCTCTGAGAAGTAAAAGCTGAAGATTCGTTAATAAAGAACGCGATATGAGGCAGAATGAAGGCGGAACGAGGAATCCGCATCGAGAAAAGTCCTCGTGGCTCGCAATTTGAGGCGTCTCCGCCAACACGCGTGGGAGCGAGTAAATATCAGTGGTACCGCCTCGATTTCGCTATTGTCCTTCCGCGAAATACCTGACTCAGCCTATCGTGACCTGTCATCACCGACACGTCGTTGTCGTCATGATCCTCACCTAGTACGATTTTAAGATGCTTGAACCGCGTCGCGCTGTCCTTCTTGACATCCTGGATCTTGAGCGTCGACTTCTTGACGTCTACATGGAGCTTCTTGCTGAACATGATTCGAGCCGCCGGCGGCCGCGGGGACAGGAACAATCATCGACGGCGACGCCCAAGACGGTCCGCGTCGATGCCCGGGCCCGGTTACCTCCGCGCGATCACCATGCCAGCGGCGCGAGGTGCACGATGCACGGCCCACCCGTGTCACGTCAAATCGGCGTCGAATTTCACATACACACCTCCGATCAGATGTACGTGACGGCCATCTTGAGCGCCTAACTGGCCACACGCAAGCAGCGCTGCGCCCCTCGGTGGTACTTCGGGGCAATGACATCATCCGTCATCCAATTCCCAATTCCCAGAAAATTCGTTATGATTAATTATAATTACGTAAGTTTCGTACATCGTAAGATACATTTTAAAATTTTGAAGGCGTCTCACGAAATAGAAAATTACCAATGCGACGTCTTTAGAATATTTTGTGTCCCGATTTGTCATTTTTGAAACTTTTTTTTCTATTTGATATCGTTTCTTGACGCGTGTAACTTTGATCGATAATACAGTTTAATAATAATAATGTATATAAATAAAGATATACGTTATATAGCAACAAAAGAAGAGAAACTAATTGTAAGAATTATTTATTAAATCGTTTAATGAATTAATCTGGTCAATAGTTTAACTATCATTTTAATAATGTTAATTTAATTAATATTTATATCTATATTTATTTCTTGAAAATGTTATATAATTATTGCTAATGAGCAAAAGACTTACTATTATATAGAGACTTACTATTACATACTATTATATATATATATATATATATATATATATATATGTAATATATTATATTTTATACATATATTTTTTGATAGACTTGAAGTAGGAATATGCATTATCCGCAGTAGGATTTGATTAGATAACGAAATCGTCTTTACCGACTGAACAGCGATTATAGCTCAATATTCGATTTCACTAGAGGCCCGCATCATGTCCAAAGCGGAAGTGATGAGAAGTGATGTCAAAAGACTAGTCATGGTGGACTAGTTATACGCGCTTTCAAAATGAATTCGAGAGATGAGGAAGCTGACATGGAATTTTCGTTTATTAAAGAGAACAGCGTAAGTCAGCAGGAGAAAGTGAAGGCATTCTGGAAGTTTCTGGATGCTCAGAATTGTTTGCAACCGCAAAAAGGTAACGAAAAATATGAATTTATGTTATCAATTCGCTAAGGATATTTTTCTTTCATTTTACTATGAAATCTTGCATATCTTATAAGATATGTGTGTTAATATTATAATATACTATTAATCATATTATTATAAGCGTGTTTATTGTATAATTATATATTGTAACACAATAACGAAAAAGAATAAGCTAAAATAATTAAAATATCACAAATTAAATTAAAAATTCATATTCTTATATCTCAAAAGCCATGGTACACAAAATAACTTAAGTTGTATACAGCACAGTAGTTTGTAGCAACATTGCTGCAATGTTGCTGGAATGATATTTGCTGTACTGTAAGACACAATAAATTAAATTAATTTTAACAATGATACTAATAAGTATATCTTAAAACACTGCATAGAATTAATTTTATTTTTATTAAATTACATAAAAAATGAAATTCTATAAAAGTAATCAATATCAAGCATTTGATTGAGACAATACTTTGACGCGAAGGAATATTGGAGCATGAATCGCCATCGGAAACGAAAACGTCGGTATCAAGCATGGAGGAAATTATGAGGGAGAAGGATATTTGGCGCAAGGGATTGCAAGTTTTCCAACAACTCGGTTTAGATAAAACCGCTTTCGCAGCTGATAACAGATGTGGATTCTGCAGCCTCGCTCATAAAACAAAGCTCCAGTATGGTTAGCGGAACGATTCGATAGAACGTTAGATAAATCAATACTTTTCCTGATAATCATAGATGCGAAGATCTGGCCGACACGGTGAAGCAGCCATATGAAGAATTGAACACTGAGGCCTTCGAGCAGCGTCAGAAAAACCGTGACTCGATCCTTACTCAGCACGAAGCGTTTTGTGCTACCAACAAATTTTGCAACTCCAATGTAAAAACAAAAAAAATGATCTAATTTGAGTGACTGACACCTTAGGGCGGTCTTTTTTTCAACTCGCGAACCGCGACGTTTCCATTCGAGTTCCAATTCGTCAAATCGATTTCTAAAAATTCAAATTTATTATATATTATAGTTTAACAAATTGCATGTTTATTTATAAATTGATTTTTTATCTTTCTAGAAATGTTCCATTATAATATGTATGTATGTAGCAGTAATAATTATAAAAATAGACCTTCTAACCGTAATTATTTTATTATGCAATTATAGTTATAATACTTTTTCTCTCAGAGTGGAATTAAATTTATCGAGCTCTCTTTGAATCAACATATTTTGGTAACAATGCACTCTTATCCACTTGTCGGGCTGAATGTATTATTACTTTATATATATATATATATATATAGTTGATTCAAAAAGAGCTCGATAAATTTAATTCCACTTTGAGAGAAAAAGTATTATAACTATAATTGCATAATAAAATAATTACGGTTAGAAGGTGTATTTTTATAATTATTACTACTACAATGTTAACAATAATAATTACATTTATAGTTCTATAAAGAATATAATTGGCACTAAAAGTGATTATATAAATTGTAGAGTTAAATTATGGTAATTGTAACCATTTTTTTTCTCATCAGTATGTAACACATTTTTAAAATTTTTCATGGTATTAGTATCAGTATTGGTATTGATTAAACAATAGTATCTTTTGTTTTATTAATTTTATGTTTATTAGTTTCTTATTTCTAGGAAAGAGTGAAAAAGGAAACAAAAAATGCTCTTAGCTAAACACGTTGTCTTAGAGAGAGCGTGTAAAAGAGCTGAAATTTAAGAAATTTGAATCAATAAAACGCGTGGATGATATAACAGACGTATAAAAAAATGCTTTGGTGACACAGTGATCGCACCGACCGCGCGCTTTTGAACTGACGTCGAAGACAGCGATACCAATCGATGTAATCGATGGCAGGAGAATTACAGCGTTTACAATGCCACACGAGGGCCAGCTCTCGGCGGAGGTTGCCGGTCGTTTAATGGAATTGGAACGGGCCGGAATATGGATGAGTAGGGTAGCGCACATCCCAAGAGGTACCGCGGTGGTGTATCGGATTTCCTTAGTCCAGGAGGTCGACGTTGTTTCGAGCAAGGTGCGCCGCCACGGGAGCTACCCATGAATGGACCGGCGGATTCTGAATCCTTACGCGACATCTGGCCTCCTGGGCCGACGACATCGTCGTCTTATTGTTAGCGTTTGTACAAGCGGGATACTTTGCGCCAATCGAGAACATCGCTCGATTTCCTCCAAGTATTCTACGATCGAGAGGCAATCCGTCTTTTTTTAGGATTTTAAGGATATTGATTTAAAACGAATTTGCTCGATAAGTCCTCAAAGAAGCTAATCGAACTACTAAATTTTTCAAAAAAAGAATTGAAGAAAAATATAATTAATAGACTCCTCTAAATATTAAAACGAAATGTATATACAACAATGGGCATTAGGAGTCACCGCTAGATATTTATTGCGTGATATTCTCTGATATTTATAATTTATAATTATAATATTTTGGACGTTTCGGCTAACAATTTCGAGCCATCCTCAGCAATAATAAATTACCGCTAATCATCCGCGTCGTCGAGCTGCATCTCGCACAATCGCAGCTACAACCATACTGCAATTGTATTGGAAATGTGGTGAGAGACAACCATCTTCAACATAGTTAATGTTGCGCCATCCAGTTGCTTAGCTGAGTGGAATTGATAGTGGAACTCAAGCCCATCTCCAATCACAACTAAAAGTGAATCTAATTATTGACCGACATGTTTCGTTCGTGCGACACGTCTCTCTTTGTGTTAAGGAAGGATTTGTGATAACACGCAGAGAATTTTTCTCTTCATATATCGGATCATTATGTTTGTGAATTTAATTAACATCGAATATCAATATAATGTTATCTATTGACGATGCTTGGATTCGCTTTTAGTTGTTATTGGAGATGGGCTTGAGTTCCACTATCAATTCCACTCAGCTAAGCAACTGGATGGCGCAACATTAACTATGTTGAAGATGGTTGTCTCTCACCACATTTCCAATACAATTGCAGTATGGTTGTAGCTGCGATTGTGCGAGATGCAGCTCGACGACGCGGATGATTAGCGGTAATTTATTATTGCTGAGGATGGCTCGAAATTGTTAGCCGAAACGTCCAAAATATTATAATTATAGATTATAAATATCAGAGAATATCACGCAATAAATATCTAGCGGTGACTCCTAATGCCCATTGTTGTATATACATTTCGTTTTAAATTTTTCAAATTGCCGCATCTCAGTGCTGTTTTTAAAATGATAATATTACAGAAAAAATCAACGTATGCATATTGATATTATAAAATTGTTAAATAAAATATAATATCTTCTGATTTTACGATTGAATCGCTGTTGAAAAACTCCAATAACAATGTTCATCTATAAAAATATAATATTCTACTTTATTTTATTTTATTTATTATGTAACTCGTATGCGTGCGAGAGTTATATAATTATAATTGGCATCAAACATAGGTGGCAAAAATTTATTTAGTTTCATGCAAATATATCGCTCGATATCTATATGTATACACGTGTTTTATAAGAAAAAAGAAGCAGCAATGGCTGCGTTTATCAGAATATTTATTTTGCAACTGTTGGAAGCTTTCTTCGCTGAGATCAGAATTTAGATCCTATATTCCTATAAATCTAAAAGTATAATTTAATCAGAGAGCGAAGAAAAGCTCCAACAGTTGCAAAATAAACATTCTTCTGAACGCGGTCAATGATTATCATTTTGACGCTATATTTGAAAATGAGATAGAAGCACATTGTAACTACCCCTCGAAGCAAAGCCGGAAGTCCAGTCAAGTTCGATCAAGTTATAGTTATCAACTGCGTCAGCATTATCTTCCATGGACAATAATCACAGCCGATCGTTTGTGCGTCGCAGGGGACTTCCGTTTCGCTTCGATCTTACGTTCTCCTTTTTTTTCTTGCTCGTGCCATTACGCGCGGACCATTTGTCTCCCGTGGAACGAACGGTCCATTGTCTCGTAAGTTTCTCGATCGGGGACCACGCCGGAAATCAGCCATCGAAACCGCGCCCTTACGTCCGCACGCACATACACTGTATATACACACACATATCGCAATGTGTATCTGTAATTTTATAAAAGTGATCCGATAACTATTTCGGTCGAGACGATCCCCCGAAATAGTCCTTATCACCAAAGCTCGGGTAAATAACATAATACACTCTTAGATATATAGGACATAAATTATGACGGAAGACTGGAATTGGCACATCATCGGTTTCTGGAGCAATTATTTACGCGGGCTAAATGGAACATGTGCTTAGCCGTCGTTAGCGAGTTATATACACAACGGGCAAATCTAATTCTCGATGATTCCTATACGTGGAGTCAAATAAGACGTTATATCCAAATATAACGTTGAGAATCTCGCAGTTAATTAAGTTTGAAGTTATTGGAACACTACGCCATTAAGTATTGCATGACTCGCGGACGATCTTAGCTTAAGATATTATTTCATTTGAAAGGAAATATGATACTCATAAAATTATATAATTTACGTACGCTAATTTAAAAACTGTTATAATCAAAGGGGAAAACAGAAATATGAAAAGAATACGAAGGATAAACGTGGAAATTAAAAACAACATGAAGAAATGTCCTCTTGTATCGAAATTGTATATATAAAGTTAACGTTAGAGAGTGTAATAATATTTATTTGTATTAAGTAACCGGAAAAGTTCGTTTGATTGAAAACGTTTATAACAACGATTTCGTAATACATATAATAATTGATGAACGCACGAATTATGCAATATCTATTAATTGCATTTTAAATAGTTCGATTATGCTGACTTTATAAGTGCTGAACTTTTTTACTTTATTTTAAATATTAAAAAAAAATATTAAAAATATTATTTGAGAGTAAAGTACGTTCAGCACCTATAAAGTTAATATAACGTAAGTTAGCGTAAATATATAGTAATAAATATTTAAAACAGTTAAATAAAAAATGTTTAACACTTACAGAGCTAAATAATTAAAATGCAATTGATAGACGAGCGCGTTATAAATTATGCCACTTATAAAAGTATATATGCCTCTAGCAAATAAACTTTTCCGGTTACTTAATACAAGTAATAATTAGGCTTGAAACTCTCTTGGCCACTTGTGATGTCCTTCTTATAATACTTTTTGCGCCGGTTTAGTCGAATAAAATTTATAGTACAGTATATCTATACTCGTATTCATATCTATATCGTATTCAGTCCTAATATGTCGCACGAGAGTCGTCACTCGTCCTGATTCCTCATTCGCGAATGGAGTCGCACCTGGAGCATAATGGACGCGCTGATGGAAGAAGAACAGGCAAGGCATGAAGGGGTCGAACATACAGAGACAAAAGCACGAGAGGTAAGAGAGCGATCGAGAGGTAGTATAAAAGGAGCAGGAGGAACCTGGACGGATGAAGAGAGAGAAGAAAGGAGAGGGGGGGGGGGAGGCAGAGAAAGACAGAAAGAAAGAGAGAAGGTGGATGAAGGGAGGAAAACAGGAGAGGGTAGAGTCCCGTTGACGGAGATTCGACGAAGCAGCGATGTTTAATCGGTGTTGGCCCGCATCAGGTTGATCGAGGACCCCCCAATCGGGTGTTGGAGGACGACGTGGGTCCGTGACGACGACATAGGGAGGTCCGGAGTAGCGCAAGCGGAACCGGGGAGAGGCTGCGCCGTGCCGATCAGGCGAACAATGGAGGCGGGATGCTCATTTGTCTGCGGGCATTGTTGTTCACCCGGCCGGAAACACGAGCCCGTACTCTCCTTTTCCCCTCTCTATCACGCTCTCTGTCTTTGTCTATTCATCTCTCTCTCTCTCCCTCTCTCTCCCTCCCCCTCTCTTTCTCTCCCCCTCGCCGTTCACCATCCGTGCATCCTCCTCATCGACGTCCCCTCTCTCCCGCCGTAGCTTTTTCCAGTACGAAAGTACCGCGATGATT